CTTCTGCATACCTTGGTTGTAAGAGTGGTTATTTGAGTTACTGTTGCCTCTCTATCAGCTGGAACCAGTCTAGCCATTCTCCTCTAACCTCTGGCATCAACAAGGCAATTGTGCCCACAGAGCACCACATAGCTTGTAGGGTTGTGCTATATGTAACAGAATGTGTGTATTTATAAAGTGCATTTAGCATGTATGGCCATACATCCAAAGTACATCACAATCATGAGGGGGGTCTCTCCACACCACCACCAGTGTGCAGCATCCGCAGGACAAAAGTTTACTATAGGAGGAGTGGAGAGACAGTGAGAGAGACAGTTCGGTGGTTGAGGATGTTTTCCTCCCCTATTCTTTACAAGAAGTGCCATGGGATTTTTAATGACTACAGAAAGTCAGGACATTGGTTTAACGTCTCATTGAAAAGACGGCGATCACTTACAGTAATGTGTCCCCTTCATTATACTGGGGGCATTAGGACTCACACACTCCGCAGTTTGAGCTCCCCCCTGCTGGCCTCTCTAACACCACTTCCAACAGCAACCTAGTTTTTCCATGTGGTCCCCCATATCCAGGTACTGATCAGGCTTATCCCTGCTTATCTTCAATGAGTAACCACTCTTAGGCTGCAGGGTGATATGGCTGTGGCAAAAACAAAACAAACAAAAAACAAAGACAAATAATCAAACCTCTGTATTTTTTGGCTGAACTGTATTTTATGTTTGGATTAAAAAAAAAAATCAGTATTTGCTTTACATTTTCTTTACATCCTGCCCAATTTTGTCCAATAAATCACAGTAATTCAAGACTATAAAAACAAATACAGCGTATTTAACCATGTGGACATCAGCTTTCATTACCCCTACACTGTATATATACCATGTAGTCACTTTATAGTCATCGATATCATAAAAATAAACTTATATGGTTTAAAAATCTGTCTGTCTGTCTGTCCATCTGTCTGTCTGTAAATATCATAATAATTATGATTATATGATATTTCTGTCTGTCCATCTTGTTCTGTGTTTTCTGTACGATATGCTGCATGTACAGTACAAGAACATATGAGTCTTTATCTGCTCCATATGTGAAATGTGGAACTGATTTCAGGCTCATTTACCAGAAAGTATGGTGAAAAAGGGGGAGAAAAAAAAAGTCTTGGTCAGAAATGCATCTCTGCTGTGGCCTGTGTGAGATTATGTCACGTTATAAAGCCTGCCGGCGCTCGGCTGTCTGATGAATGGACAGAAAGTGAGAGAGAGAGAGAAAGACAGAGCCAAAAACAACAGAGACTCCATCACACACTCACTCATGGATGATGCCAGACTGCAGCGACAGAGCGAATAACCTGCTAAAGAACACCGAAAACATGTCAGAAAGCTTAAATTAAGGTGTTTGCTTTAAAAAGCCATTCATATTTTAACACAGACAGGAACACACATTGACTGAGCGCAACATCATGTATGGAAATACATTTTAAAGACTAAAATATTGTAGACGGCCAACTTTATATTTGTCGTAACTCTGGGTGTTTAAGTAGTGTTAACCCTCATCCAAGAAGCGTTCAAGAGAGTGGAAAGAAAATGTGTGGAGAGGTCAGAACCAATCCTGAGGGAGTTCAGGCTCGAAACTTAGTACATTTTCTGAAATCTGAACAACTTTATGGACTATATGGGATGTATTTTTCCACCGCTTTCTTGACGATGTTCTCTGTTTTTTGCTGAATGGTTTTAAATTGGTGACTTCATTTTTCACAAATCATCAAGAGTTTTCAATTAGTTTCATTTAGTTGATTCAGATGTTTGGATCAGACTGACCATAAGCTGAGCGCTGGCCTGAGGCGGTGGAAAAGAGCCAGTAATCAGAGTGTTTTCAGTTCAAGACCCAGCCAGTGGGACTAATGATCTGGATACTGGCTTTTGACTGCTTGAAATATGGCCGTCACAGACTACTGAAAAACTGACCTTGACAAAGGTGAACACTCCACTTAAAAAAAAGGGCTCATTTTACAACTCCCCTAGAGTTAAACTGCTGTTTCACCATACCATTATTCTCCGAGTCTGGCGGGAGCACTTTTAGCTTAGCTTAGCATAGAGCATTGAATTGGATTAGACCATTAGCATCACGCTGAAAAAAGCAAAGAGTTTTGGCAATTGTCCTATTTAAAGCTTGACTCTTTCAGAGTTATGTTGTATTAAAAAACTGGCTTGCTTGGTTTGGGACTTATGAAGCTGTGCATCAATGGATTTGCTCTTCAGAGTTTGAACTTTTAGCTTTGAAATTTAAACCACACTGAACTGAACTAAACTGAACTTACATGGTTTCATTTTACTAGAACTTCTATGTTAAGCTGCTTTAACACCATCTACATAGTAAAAGTGCTATAGAAATAAACATGAACTGAATTGAAAATAGTCCCCAGCTATAGGTTACTCTACAGCAGGGGTGCTCAATCCTGTTCCTGGAGATCCACCTTCCTGCAGATTTCAGTTGTTACCCATATCAAACACATCTGAACCAATTAATTAGCACCTGAACACCACATGATAATTACAGGCAGGTGTGTTTGATATGGGTAGCAACTGAAATCTGCAGGAAGGTAGATCTCCAGGAACAGGGTTGAGCACCCCTGCTTTACAGGTTCCTGCAAATGTCCCTATGGTTGTAAGGCATGCTCCCTGTTAGGGCTGCACGAAACTGGAAAAATGTGACATTTCGTTACTGATATTTCTTACAATATAAATTTCCCTCGAAAACTGCCATTTTTATTAGTTATATTTTTAAATAATTTATTTAATGATAATAAAATAAATAAAATAATTCTAATTCAGACTAAAAACTGTCAAGGTGCAAAGATTTAGTCATTAAAATACAATGAATAAGTGAAAACCTTTGCAGATATTCTGACTCAGACTTTCCTCGTCTCGAAACCTGTCATTAGTGTTTATTTTCAGCTCTTGGTTGACTTTTGAGCTGCTCCAGCTAATAGCAAAACAGCTACTACTGGGGAGGTGGGGATAAAGATAGTAAGGCCCCATCTGATTGGTCAATTTTTGATAAACAACCAAAGCATAAAATAAATGTAATTGATCACACTTCTGCGATAAGTAAATTGCATATATTACTATTGCACTAACAATAATTTTGCAATATATTGTGCACATTAGTGGAAAGAGTACTAAAAAATCATACCTAAGTAAAAGTACCATTACTCACCAAAAAATGTAGTACAAGTAGAGTAACAGTATCTGTTATAAATATTACTCAAAGTATGAGTAAAAAGTAGCCCTTTAAAAGTACTCAAGAGTAGTGAGTATTACGATGTGAACGGCTCATGCGTTTACATGCAATTCATGCATGGATGTGTAAACGTAACATTCTGTAGTGCATTTGTAATCGTTTAAGGGCATTTGGTGGTTTCATTTCCTCATACAGTAAATATCCATCTTCTCATCAGTGACATGCAGTCGATAAAGTCTCTCGATTATTGCTTGTAAAGATTTTGGACATCTTCTTGGACATTTTTAATGCTTCCAAACGGTTTGTTGCATTTATGAGGAGCCAGTGTCTTGCGGTTGTTCTGTATGATGTGATTTACATTCTACTTTAGCCAATCACCACAGACAAGAAAATAAAGTAGTGACCACTGGTAGAAGAAACTTAAAACTACCTAGTAAATTACAACTCCTGAGACAAACTACTCCATTAGAGTAATTTGAGTATTTGTAATTTGTTGCTCTACACCACTGACTGTTATAATCCCTGTGCAAGCAAGTGGTCAAATTGTTCATAATGGTGGAATTTAGCCAATTTTCATGTGTTGTGTAATATCACTGTGCCGTCTGCACCCATGGTAAGGCAGCAAAGTTCCTTGATTGTTACATCAGAATTCGGGTATAGTGTTCTAGGTTTAAATTGACCTAGAAAAGAGCAACTTTTCATTTCCAGCCGTTCTTAATACATAATGTAAATACAAGTAGGATTGTTTTCTCTTTGGTCATTTTTAAGCAAGATGCTAATGGTCTAATAAGATTTAATGACCTATGCTAAGCTAGGTGTCATATATTGCAGGCGTTTATATACTGCAACTATTATTTGAGGTGCTTCTTTTATTCTCACTTGTAAGTAGCTCAAAATAAAAGTGTCTGCTAATTGAATAAATTGAAGTTACAGTGCTCAGCATAATTGAGTACACCCTGTTTTGAAAATGAATATTTTTCTCCATTTCTCAGTGAATATAGGCAATGTATTTTGGTGCATTTAAACAAAACAGATTTTTAAAACAAATATATTTATTAAAATAATATTTTAGTCATCAAACATATTTAAAAATTGAAAGATAATACAATTAAATTCAAGCAAAATATTGCAAAAAAATCACAATCTACAAAATTTCAACTCAATTTTTCCTTTTTTTTTTTTTTTGCTTCTCTTGATTTTTCCTATTTTTAAAAATTTGTATTGAATTTTTTTCTATAACATAAAATTGGTTGTACTAGTTTTTAGACTGTTATTATAAGTTATTGTGTTAAATAAGCTCCAGATTTGGCTTACACTAATCTAATGTATATTATGCACAAATATAATAGCTTCCTATAGAAAATATTCATTTAAAAGAGAGATTTGTTAGGGGTGTACTTATATATGCTAAACACTGTAAAAGTTCTTCTGGCATACCTGGATATTGACTGAATGGTTGTGAAAACTGAAGTTTAGTGTTCCTTTAAAAACAATTTTTAGTCATTTAATATCATGGCTGGACCTAAACATTTCATTAATTAAAAACTTTTATAGCGAAACCTTTCAGTATAAAACAGATGGTTAACTTGCTGTTTGTAACTTGAGGTAAACTTTAACCACAGTCATACGCCTGAGCAAAACAAAAAAAAGAGGAAAGACTTGATGAATCTGAATCATCCAGTTTCACGTTTTCAAATTTGAAGAGTCATCAGATTGTTCAGTTTTCTCGACTGATGGAAGTGTTTTTGTTTGTTTTTTTGTCACAGGTTACGGACAGTATCATCTCTAAACAGACTTTACATGGTGAGTAGTCAGTCAGTCATTGTTATTTTTAACAATTGCTTTTATCACTACGACTGCAGAATGTACCGTGCTGGAAATACCCGGAACCATCAGACAGAAAAACATAATTCAACACAGTTCAAAGAAGTCATTAAAATCTCTTGTGCAATAGCAATTCATTTTTTATGGTGTATTTTGAATGTGCTGACTGTTTTCTGTCTGTCTGTCCTTCAGCAGCAAGAACACAAACTCATTCATATAATACAACAGGGTCAAAGTTTATGACCACAGTGATGCAGCGGCCATCAGCCCACCTGACCCTCAGCAGTGAGTCTGTTTGTATGTATGGCCGTGTGTGTGTGTGTGTGTGTGTGTGTGTGTGTGTGTGTGTGTGCCTGTTTATGTCTGTTTTTATGTTTTATCAATATATCAAGTTTACTGTCATTAACTTTTTCAGCAAACATTAGCATGAGTAAATTTGGCAAGAAATGTTGATAACAAATAGCAATGATAATGATAATAATAATAATAATAATCATAATAATAATAAATGACAACAGTAATTTTATATATATATATATATATATATATATATATATATATATATATATATATATAATGATGATGATTATGATGATGATAATGATAATTACAATAATAATACAAATAAGTTGTATTATTTATTATTATTATTGGCTGTGGTGTTATTTCAAAACTCAGTGCTTTATATTTTTATTTGCTGAAATAATAATAATAATAATAAAAAATATTTCAAAAATAAATATAATAACATGGTAACAATTGCAAAAAAAAGTCTATGAGCAATAAATATACTTAAAATAAAAAAATATTTTAATAACAAAAAATCCATCATGAAGCCATTATTATTGGTCATTGTTGTTGTTGTAGAAAATATTTGTGTGTTAAAATAATAATAAAAACGACAACAATAATAATAATAATAATAAAAACTAAAAATATTAATAGAATAAAATCGTAATAATAATAATAATAATTGTTATTGTTATTATTATTATTATTATTTGATTTTTTATTATTGATATTGGGTTGGTGTTATTTCAAAACTGAGTTAGATGCTTTATATTTATATTTGCTAAAATAATAATAACTAAAATATTAATAAAATAAATACAATAATAACAACAATTGCTTAATTGTTGAACATTTAATCATAAAGCTTAAGAGCAATTAAAATAAAAATAATAATAATTGGAATCTTTATTGTTATAGAAAGTATTTGTGTGTTAAAAATAATGATGATAATAATAATAATAATAACTAAAAACATTAAAAGAATGCAATAATAATAATATAATAATTTTTACATTTATAGATAATTTATCCATAAACTTAAGAGCAATAAACAAATAACAAGTTGATAATACATATGTGTATTATTATTGTTATTGCAAACCTGAGTTTGTTGCTGTTTTAAAATATTTTTGTATTTATATTTGTTGAAATAATAACAAAAAATATACTATATATGACAAATATTTAAAACTAATAGAACAAATAGAGTAAAATAACCTGAATACCCGCAAAATGTTTAAGCACTGAATCATCAAAGCAGTAAATAAATAATAAAACAAAATATTTCAGCCTGCGCTATACTTCATGGCTTCAGCCCAGGCTTGAGGAATCAACGCTAGCTGATGAAATTCAGCACCAGTTAAACAAAAAAAACTACATAGTGTAAAATGGGTTCTGACGTTTTTTCCACTTCAAGCTATGATTTCCTGTAGTCTGAGGATATCAAACATGTTTAACATGTTAAGTCGATATAACACATTTTTCATCTGTCTCCTATAATGATACGCAGGTGTTTTTGGAACAAAAAAGTAAAGTGTGTCTACTAGTCATTGAATGTATGGTGCCCGTTTCCCAAAGCCAGCAAGAGTCAGATACATACAATTTTAAATTCACTTCAGATTTTAAAACATATTTAGTGTCAGTACTGTAACCAATCCAATCACCTATCATGCACATAAATGAGCCATCCATCCTGCCACAGTATGTCTGGCAGACAGCTGCAAAGAAGAAACGGATTATAAAACAGCCTGAAATGATCGAGTTATTTAGCAGGAGCAGAAAAAATAAATATCACCAAACATCCTCAAATCTTGTCTGCTCCTTTGAAGTTCCACTATAGCTGCTCGGATCAAAGTCCTATTCATTTCATGCATGCCAGGAAACATAAAAAAAAGAAACATATTCAGTCACGCATCTCTAAAGGAAATGAAACCGAGTCAAACCAGCTTTGTTTCAGGGGAATAAGTGGTGAGGCTAATCCGTAATCTGCAAGGGAGAAGTTTTTTTGTTGTTATTCACCCATTATTCACAAACCTGTCTGCAGAGCGCTTAATGATGGATCACATACACACGCTGCAAAAACGGTTCACTTCTAAAAGTCTGCCTTTCGACTAACATCTATATTAACCAGCTTGAAAGCACTGGCTTTTTTTCCTTTTACACACACACACACACACACACATCTGTACTTCATATGCATTTTTTGATCTCTTTATCAATGTTTCTCAGACAAAAGGGCGCTCTTAAAAGTTTTGCTCAGCAGTAAATCAGAGAGCGAGCCTGGCGCGTTTATTGATCTGCTGTGAGGAATGTGGCTCATTGTGTTTGGAGGAACACGCCGCCTTCTCTTTCATTCTTCGATTTTTCAGTCTGTCCGTGATTTCCTCTCCTGCGCAGCCGTACCTTCCTGTTCAGATCTCTTTTGTACTCTTAGCACAATCCAGCCAATCCTTCATTCCTCCCTTTGCCTTGTGAATTATGCGCCGAGCCTCAAATCGCCACCTGCTCCTCGTCTTTCACATCTTCTTTTTTTACTACTGCTTTCATGGGCTTCGTCTTGAATTATTGGAGCTCATACTGTATATGGTTTAAGTCAACATGAAATCAAAGCTGTGCTTTTACTTCATGCACAATGCGTGATTTATCGATATCTTATCATAAGTTATGATTTTGTATATTTATAGATTTGTACCCAGGTCTAAGTTCCACAGGATAGGTTGTAATGATTTATAAAACATTAATCACTGGATGAGCTTAGGAGATCTTTGCATGGATATATATAGTATTACAGCAAACTATGGGAGTGTATTAGTGTATATTATTCATTCATTCTTTTACTTACCTTCGGCTAAGTTCCTTATTTATCAGGGGTCGCCACAACGGAATGAACCGCTAACTATTCCAGCATATGTTTTATGCAGTGAATGCCCTTCCAACCACAACCCAGTACTGGGAAACACCCATACAAACTCATTAACCCTACGGCCAATTTAGTTTATTCAATTCACCTATAGTGCATGTCTTTGGACTGGAGGAAACCCACATGAACACGGGGAGAACATGCAAACTCCACATTGAAATGCCAACTGGTTCAGCAGCGACCTTCTTGCTGTGGGACAAGAGTGCTAAGCACTGAGCTACCATACCACCTAGTGTACACTATATTAGCATTTGGAAAATTGAAAAATGTCTGTTTTTGTTTCACATTTTTCTTAGGTCACACTCTATTTTAAATGTAAAATCCACATTATTAAACGGATACCTGAAAATTTTAGCTCAATGAATTAGTGATTTGCTGTTTATTAAGAGTTAATAAGAATGTGTGTATGAGTGTTTCCCAGTGTTGGGTTGCAGCTGGAAGGGCATCGGCTGCGTAAAACATATGCTGGATAAGTTTTCTGTTCATTCCGCTGTGGTGACCCCTGATTAATAAAGGGACTAAGGCGAAAAGAAAATGAATGAATGAATGAATGAATGAATGAATGAATGAATGAATGTGAATATATATTATTGGTGGGCATAGATTAATTATTTTAATCTAGATTATTCTAGATTAAAATGGGTCATTAGAATTGTGCCAAAGGCATTCAGAATTTGTGTGCTACCCAAATGATAAGTCTTTGAGAGCGGGTTTCTCAAGCCAGATGGCGCATTGCACCAGGGGCTCATCTTCGGTTTCCAAAATGGATCAGAAACTGCTTGAGAAACTGTTCTAGTATGATAATTAGTGATGAAAATAAATGATGTTCAACACGATGTACTTGTGTTTACTAACTGTTTATTCACTTTAACATGAATTTTGAACTGTAAGCCTACATAAGCTCCAAACAGCGATTTTTGATCCCCCTAATTCTACTAAAGTCACAACTAAACTAAACAGAAATGAAATTAAGACATGTGGAGTATGCAGATATTAGTGAGATTATTGAAGTAAACACCACAACCAAACTATTACCGTTATGTAGGACTTTTCGCCATATTATCTGACAAGATACACACACATCACAAAACGCGGAAGTTTTTTTTCTTTCCATTTGGCGTGCATTATTAAATTCTGTAACACTCTCACCAGTCCTTACTCCTTATTTGCGTCTAATGCCCCAGTTTGTCACGGGCATGAATTAAATGTTCTTGAGTTAAAGTGAAACTGCCGAACTGCAGTTAAAGTCAGGCATCCTGTTGATTTGATTCAGAAGGGCACTTATTTGTCGGACGGCTCACCGGTCAGGTATACATCCGCGCTAAACTATCAATCTAAAGGTCATCATAACTTGCGTAGAACAGACCCAGCTCGCAACCCAACTTTGAGAATAGATTAACAGCGAAATTTTTTTTAATCACGCCATAAGAGTCTCATGTTAACGCCGATAAGGGCCCACCACTAATATATATATGACTGATAACTGATGAACTACAAATTGTCATGAAATTATCAATGTACACTTTAACATTTGTTAATATGGCATAATGTATACACAATGTTATCAAATTAATAATGTTCTTGAAAATTACTTTCAGTAAGCTTAGGTGATCCAAATGTAAAAATTGGGGAATTTAGCCTGCACACTTTTATGTATTTGTATCTAAACCTATCAATATAAAACAAGTTGCATTTTAATGCTAACCTGAAGTCTGCCTTTTTCCTCAGGTGCCTCCGACAACTCCAGGCCTCAGTCAGATATGCACCAGCCTCAGTTTGATCTGCACCAGTCCTGCCGTCACCCTGTGCACACCTGGGCCAACAAGAGCTTCGGTGCCCACCTCTACAACATGACTCTGACCAACGGACGCCTGCGTGTGCCCCAGGACGGCCGCTACTACCTGTACTCACAGGTGTACTTCCGCTACCCTTCTCCCAGCGACAGCGACCAGTCCAGCGTGAGCCACCAGCTCGTCCAGTGCATCTACAAGAAAACCTCCTACCTGAACCCCATCCAGCTGCTGAAGGGAGTGGGCACCAAATGCTGGGCTCCGGACGCAGAATACGCCCTGCACTCGGTGTACCAGGGTGGCCTGTTCGAGCTCCGAGCAGGCGATGAGGTCTTCGTGTCCGTCTCATCTCCCACAATGGTCTACGGCGAGGACTCTTCTAGCTACTTCGGGGCTTTCCGATTGGATCTGTAAGAGAGAAAATAGAGCGGGAGTATCATTTTGGCAGAGAAAAGTTTCGCTCAACATCCATCAACTTTCCTTTCTTTAAGACTGAATATGTGAATATGTGAAGGATGCAAGAGACATTTCGGTTATTTCTTTTTAAAGACAGAGGAATGTATGTATATTTCTACAAATCACATCAAAGATGTGAATCTTGGAAACGGTAGCAAAAACAAAACAGGAGAGACAGAAAGTGAATCTGTGCCAATGGTGGTTTTGACGTGCGAACTCCACTTGCTTGAAGGGAATATTTTTCGTGCGCCGCGGATCTTAAATGGCTTAAAAGCAGAGATATGAGAAGAAAATGATGACAGCGGGAATGTGGAGGAAAGAAAGATGAGATGGGAAATATGTGGCTCTACCAGCCTCAAAGGAGCATCCTGGCAGGCTACAGAATTCAACCCATCCTGTCGGACCTGCGGAGCAACATGCCCTGACATGAAAAGGACCTAAAAAACAAAACAGGCACACATAAACAAAGAGGAATTCAGGCTGCTGCATTGATTCTCATGCTCTTGCATATTTATGGCTTCCACAACATGGCGATAAGATTAAAACACATACGACACAAATCACTTTTACAGGTCTCCCTCTGCTGTCAGGCCCGGCAGGAAGAGACACGTGCTCTGGAGCTCACGCGGTCCTGGTCATACAAAAGGTTAAACAAACACTACGCTAAACGGTTTGTTGAAACGTCGCGCCCATATAATGCTTTGTCTTGAGCGACACACTTTTCTGATAAGTGGCGCTTCGTGCTTGTACATCCATCTGTTTTGTGTGTGTGTTGTGTGTGTGGTTCAACCTGTGTATATATTGTATTTAATTGAAAATAGATGAGGTTTGGAATTGAATGTACGAGCGTTTTGTTGTTCTCCTAATAAAAATCCCACAAAACCGAGCCTCCCGCTGTAAAGGTAAACCCCATGACGTTGTCCAAATGAAGCGGCGCTGTGAGTCTGATTTTCTGTGGAAAAATGGTTTGTTTGAAGGAGGAGAGGGCGGGGGTGATTTCTTTCCACTGTAAATGATCAAGTGTTGTCACAATGGTGTTTCTGAGAGCGAGCACAAACACTCGCTTGGGTTTCATTGTGGAGCACAAGCGTGTTTTCTTCTCGCTGGACTCTGCCCCAGTTTTTACTGATAAAGTCAGCGAGCTGAAGGGCCGCTGCCAAGATGTTGCCTTAAATCACATTATACTGCGAGAGCGATCGAGCCAAGCCAATGCTCTCTGTGGCATTTAGCTACGGGCTAGCTATAATGTTAGTTACAAAACTTCACTCCGTCTGACTCTCATCTGCAATTTGTCTGGATTAAAAAAGCGTGGACATTGATTTAATCCAGAAAGGGAGAGCGAGTTATGCTTCAGCAGGTTAATGCTTTTGCTGCAAGTGGTATGATGTGCCGCCAAGCCAAAAATTCCCCATACAGGGTGCTTTTTTTTTACGTTTAAGGGAATGTGATGTCAGATACCACTACATGTAAAGTGCCTTTGGTCGTTATGCACTGATCTCAATCTAAACGCTAACTTTTATCATGTGTTAAGGGAGGTTCAAAGCGATTGCCGCTGAAGTCATGTATGATCTCATTAGTGCTTAGCATCTGACATTAACCGCATTATTTCGCAGCCCACTGAGACACTGTACATCATCATCCTTTCACGAAAAAAAAAAAAAAAAGATGCACTCATGTCATTTTAAACTTGTAGGACTGTCTTTATTATTGTGAGGAAAAAACATTCGTTAATGTAGAAATTAAAAACTGTTGTTATTTTGCTGGGTTCACACTAAATGTGAATTTAATTAAAGCTGCAAGCAGCGATGAAAGGGACCTCGCACCCAGGCTCATTGCCCCCAGTGGGCTTAGAATGAGAACAATGGACAATAATAATTTAACCTAATATCTACCAAAAAACCTGAGAAAAATCACAGATTTATGCCAAACTTCCTTCTGCCCGCAGGTGGCGCTATGACTGTGACTTAATTTTAGCATATAGATGTCTTCAGGAGAGGAATCTTATTGAACCTGTGAATTTTCAGGCAGATCAGAAATTGTGTGGTTGAGGTATAAGTACTTCCTCTTCCACTGCGAAGCACTGCAGTTTGTCAGTCCGCCACGGACACGCCCTTTGGCGAAAACTCTAGATCTTCACAATTTAACACCACAAAGGCCTTTGGATTAAACTAACGGAACATGAGTTTGATAGGATAAAATTTGTAGGAGGAGTTTGTTACAGTGTAAAACGTCAATTCCTGTTGCCAGCAGGTGGCGCTATAACTTTAACTGGACATCGGCATGTAAACGTGTTCAGGTCAGGACTGTTATCAAACCTGTGTGCCGTGTGTCAACTGACATGTGTGCCAGTTTTGGTGTTTGTGCATGAAATGTTGCTCAGGGGCTACTTTGTTAAATGTGCATAGGTGGCACTGTCACACCCACTTCCGAAACCTATAACAAGCGTAAATGTTCTAGTTCCACTTCTAGTATGTGTGCAAAGGTTTGTGAGTTTTCGGGCATGTTTAGACCCTCAAAAATACGATTCATCCTAGAGAAGAAGAATAGTAAGGAAGAGAGCAATTCCAATAAGGCCTACGCACCCTAAATATTTGCGGCGTGAGTAAATAACACACAAATAGAGGCAAATTCTTTGTGTTTGGTGTAAACCCAGCATTAGCGACACTGGTGGTCATTTAATGAACTGCAACCCGAAGTTAACTGATGCTCACACTCATGAAACAGTTAAGTAAGCATCATACGTTGGCGCCAACAGCCTAGTAGTTAAGTGTGTCGACATTAGGCATGGGACGATAACCATTTTCAAGGTTTACCACGGTTTAGAACAGTCAAAATTTTCTGCTATACCGTTTCTAAGGTATGTGTGTGTTTTTTTTTTTTTTTTTTACATTTTTTTAGGACATTATCTCCAGAAGAAAGAAAGAAATCTGTGTTTTTGAAACAAAAGAAGACAGCAAAGTCAATGATTCGTTTGAATATTTCAGCCTGACATGTTTGAAAAGTCTTTGTTTTCTACCCTGAAATTTTAAAAAAAGAACTTGTATTAGAGCAGTAATCCCAATACTCTCAAATCGTGAAGTTTTTGCGCAAGAATATTATACCGTCAGAATTGTATTCCCATGCCTAATTGACACATAATTAGTACTGAGGTGCTCACAGTGACCCGAGTTCAATTCACAGCTCAAGAGCCTTTACCCCTTTAAATTTCCTGTCAATACTCTGAACTGTTCTATTTATTAAAGATTAAAAACCCTGAAATGATGGTACATCTGCAATTTTGGCTGATCTTGATGTGAATTTTTCTGAGCCTCATTAAAAAAATAAAATGCCCACAAATCAGGAGTGGATCTATCCGAAGATCAACAAACAGAAATCATGTCATAATTTATTAGCAGAAAATATATTTTCTTTTCAAGCTGATAATGTTAATGATAACTATAGTTTTTCAACCAATAACTACAGTAACTATACATTTTTTATTTACTAAAACTAGACAAAAATTTAATAAAAAACAGATTTAAATGACAAAAATATACAGACAAAATGAAATTTATTTATTCATTTACCTTCAGCTTAGTATTTATCTATTAACTATTCCTGCACATGTTTTACGCAGCAGATACCCTTCCAGCCACAACCCAGTACTGGGAAACACCCATACACAAGAACATACAAGCTCAACAGAGAAATGCCAACTGGCTCAGCTGTGACTCGAACCTGTGACATTCTTGCTGTGAGGCCATAGTGATAACCACTGAGCCAACGTGCCTCCATGAAAATATTTATGGAGGGAAATTTAGACAAATTAAAGACTAAGGCTAAAACTGAATCAAAATTTACTGTCAAATTAGAACTGCATTAATCTGCCGCATCACATGATGATGTTACAGCACAAAATAGCCCTTTCAGCAATACCCTATACATTAAACACATCCATTTCATATGTCAAAACAAAAGAGAGGCTCTTGAAAACCCATAAACGTCAAGTCTTTCAGATTTCCCCAACAATAACGTCTCAATCCTTCCTATAAAACTCGTGAAGAGTCTTTAAAGGTCTCGTTTTTCGAATTCTCCACAAGCTATTCACACACTGCCAATAAAAGAGCGATTAGCACATGAAAATATTAACACAGCCTTCCACGTTTGCGTTCCACAGAAAAAAACACAGTCCTACAAGTCTGAAACAACGTTTCCCAAAGGAGTCTGCATGATCCGAGCAATTCACACTAACTGAGCTCATTATCCCAGTCAATCTGTCAAAAAGACCCCATCCAGGGTCTTGTGTGAGATGTGCACATGTGTATACAAGTTGAAATATGTACCAATCTGCATGGCGCAGAGGTCGTGGTGGGGTGAGGGGTGGACAAGAAGGAGAAATATGGCGGAATTCCAGCAGATCCAGACCGATTGCAGCAGGACTTGCCCTCTGAACCACAATGTGAACATGGGAGACCAATGTTTGCTAGGTGTCCGTATACAAGAGTGTGTTTTTTAAATTAAGACTGCTTTGTAAAGCAGTGAATGTGATGGTTTGCCTGTACTTTTTAAATCAGTGCGGAGACTTTACAGGACTGCTGTGAAAACTGAAGGGAGGCAGAACAGGGTGAAATACAGTGAGCAACATGAACTGTCAAAAGAAACAAAAAGACTATTGTGTTTCCTTCTCCAGAGAGAGGTTTTTTTCTTTTTCCAAGGGTTTGTTAAATTGTCAGACCACCAATCTAAGGGGCTTTTTTCCATTTACAGAAAGATATTATGCACTGTTTACCAATGTTACTTCTGCATCTTTGGTAAGAATGTACTGATATCGGTCACACTCTCCCTCTTTATGGTATAATTTTACACAGTGTCTGATCCGTGACGTTGAAATGTAAGTCTGAGGTGTCATTTTCAACAATTAAAGTGCCTTTTTTGAACAATGAGTCGCAGTGTGGTTCATCATTTCCTTGCTAACTTGAGCATCTTTTTTCTGTTGTTGGAAGACTTCAATCATGATTTCTACATCATTTGTTCTCCTTTTTTTTTGCCAGGCTTGCACACAATACCACAACTAAGCCACCCACATGGAGCTTTTGCACAAAAGATGTTTGCGCACACACATAAATATTTGCATTTCTACTGTGGTGGGGACTTCCCATTGACTTCTATTGTTTAATACTATGTTTTGGTGGTTTTACATTATTAAAGCCATTATACTATTATAGAAGCCATGTGTATATATATATATATATATAGATATAGATATAGATATACTTAATATTTCCCAAATTATGTTCATAAAGGCAAGGGAGTTTTCACAGTATGTCTGATAATATGTTTTCTTCTGGATAAAGTCTTTTGTTAAATTTTGGCTAGAACAAAAGCAGATTTATTATTCTTTTTAATTTTAAGGGCAAAATTATTAGCCCCTGTAAGATATGTATTTTTCGATAGTCTACAGAATAACCCATTGTTATACAATAACTTGCCTAATTACCCTAACTTGCCTATATAGTTAACCTAATTAACCTAGTTAAGCCTTTAAATGTCACTAGAAGTGTCTTGAAAAATATCTAGTAAAATATTATTTACTGTCATCATTGCAAAAATAAAACGAATAAATTTATTAGAAATGAGAAATTAAGTTTTTTAACTTAAGTTTAACTTTTATTAAGTTTAGAAATGTGTTGAAAAAAAAATCTCTCAGTTAAACAGAAATGGGGGAAAAACTAAACAGGGGAGTCAATAATTCTGACTTCAAATTTCGAAGCCTGTGGAATCAACTCCGGAATCAACTCTTAAAAATCAACTTATACAAGGTTACTGCATCAATTGCAGCTTTACATTGTGCAGTTCTCCTCTGGTTAGACAAATCATGTCAAAATATAATAGTTATCAGCCTACACTTTTTACAGCATATTTTATTTCGCTAGCTGAGATCATTTTTACGGCGCTAGTGGTTATGTGGTTTTTTGTCTTGTTTTATGCTTGAACAACTAAATAAATGCTTAAGTTTACTTAGCTGAATGTATTCAACATTGATGCTGTAAAATCAAACTTATGAAATTGAAAATAGTCTCATTAAGCTTTCACTGGAAGTTTCATTGGCTGGAAAACACTAGCTGTGCATAGAGCCCATTGAGCCCAGGGCTCCTGCCTGGTCAGTTAGCATGTAAGGGGGTCCGAGATCAGGTATTTCTCGAGAGTTACCCCTGGTAAAAGAGGAAAAGGTGGAGATGGTGTGGAAGGGGTGATTTTTCCAAAACAAAAATAAGGTAGTAGGGCAAAATCTGTCTATTTATTGTAGGCTTTGATCAATTCTGATTGGATTTTTGTTGATTACAGATGAGGGACCAGCTGCGATCAATCATATCACATGCACCTCTTGAAATGAGTTTGTGAAACTTCACTTAGTGGAAAAATCCTCTAAATGACCATATAATCATTTGAAATTTCGAAAATAAAATGAGCAGAATAGCAGAATATAATATATAATAGAAATTATTTAAATAAATAATACATTTTCTTTATATAATAGAACAAATATTGACACTGACACAATATACTAATATATATAAAATATACTAACACTGACACAATAATCTAACTATATAAAGAAAATAAACTGACACTATACTTAGATTCTAGAGAATTTTTAAGTGGTCTTTTTTTCCATAGCTGTATA